TACCACACTTGAGTCGAGTGTCAAGAAAGAAGAGCCGTGAGCCATTTCATTTGTTTCAACGCACAAGACTGAACGTTTCTTGCATTACGAGTGTAATGGCGGATGTATCATCTAAATGTGCTACTAAAGGGAAGATAACTGATGAGAATAGGAGTTTTCAAGAAAAATGGGAGGAAGAGTTTTGTTTTATAAGTGGATATAAGGAAGGTGCTGCGATATGTTTATTATGCCGGGAAACTGTGGTCGGAATTAAGCGATACAATTTATTTCGGCACTACACAAGTAAGCATAGTTCATTTAGTGAAACCTACCCTTTAAATACGATTCAAAGAAAGAATAAAATAATTCATTTGAAATCGTCAATTCATCGTCAACAAAATATAATGACCACAGCAGTCGGGAAAAATGAGGCTATTACAAAAGCATCATACCAAGTATGTAACATTCTTGCAAAACGCATGAAACCCTTTACTGATGCTGAATTGATAAAAGAGTGTATGGTAACTGTTTCTCAAACGTTGTTTCAAAATTTTTCAAATAGTAAACAAATAATGGCAGAAGTAAAAAAAGCTTACGCTTTCTGAATCCACCCGTCGCTGCCGTGTTGAAGATATTACGAAAAATTTGTTTGAGGCAGTAATTGACAAACTGAAAAACTGCAAATACTTCAGTCTTGCTTGTGATTCCAGTACGGATATAACTTCTATGTCTCAGTGCTCATTATTTGTTCGGTACTGCACAATGGAGGGAATCATAGAAGAAGACTTCTTAGCAGTAATTACCATGAAGGGGCATACGAGAGGTTGTGATTTCATGGAAGTTCTAAAAGAATTTGTGGAAAAACATAGAATACCTGTAAAAAAGTTGATATCAGTGTGTACTGATGGTTATCCATTAATGGTGGGTGCAACTAATGGTTTGATTGCTTTAATGAAGGAGGAATGGAATTTACCTAATTTGTTGCCCATTCATTGCTTGCTGCATCAAGAAACTTTGTCATGTAAAATTTCGAATAACAAATTGAAAGATGTTATGAATACGATTGTGAGCATTATAAATTTTATTCAAGCGTGCGAACTTAATCATCGAAAATTCAAAGACCTTCTTGAAGAATTACAAGCTAATTATGGCGATGTTATCTTGCATACGGCCATCAGATGGTTAAGCAAAGGAAAAGTATTAGAACGGTTTTTTCATTTGAAACACGAAATAATACTTTTTTTAAAACAAAGTGGCAAAGAATTCCCTCAACAACAGCAAAATGAATGGTGGGCACTTGCGGCTTTTTTGACCGATACTACCATGAAATTCAATAATCTAAATTTAGAGATGCAAGGACCTAATAAGATAATTGGGCAAATGACAAATAAAGTGTTCGCATTTGAGGACAAACTGCAATTATACATAAATGAGCTCAAAGCAGGAGATTTTTCAAATTTTCCAACCATTGCTGCTCTGCAATCTGAAGTTTTTATTCCAGACAGTACTGTCTATCAAGATATGATATCCTATTTGAAAGAATATCTGTTAGAAATTCAAAATAGATTTGACGATGTGTGAAAAATCAAGAACTGTTTTATACTTGTGGAAAACCCTTGGCATGTTGAAAACGAAGATATGAAATTATTCTGCCAGTTTGGATTTTCTAGAGCACAGTTGATGAATGAAATCATTGAACTAGAGCACGACACGCAGCTGAAAGCTAATTTCGTTGAACACAGTGAAAAGCAGGAGTATATTGAGTTTTGGAAAAATGCACCTAGCAATTATAAATCTTTACAAAACTGTTCACAATTCGTTTTAACTATATTTTCTTCAACATATCTCTGTGAAGCTTCATTTTCGAAAATGAGCTTTTTGAAAAACAAATACCGCAATCGTCTTTCCCCTCATTTAGAAGACACAATGAGGATTGCATGTAGTCCAAAAGATGCCGATATACAAGAAATAATTAAAAAAGTTCAACACCATAATTCGTAATTATAATGAGATATTTATAATTATAGTGTTGATTGTTTTTTACTACCTATGTTTGAAAATTATCTTTTTCCAATAAATATTTTAATGAACACGTCCAACCCGTGTTAGGAATCACACGTTAAAAGGTAAGACCTCGTTAATCCTTAGCTCGCACAAGTTTCGACTTCTGAGGGTTGTCGTTCGTAGGGGTGCGACAGCTGGTTAACGGAAAAACAGATTTTAAACAGATTTTTAAACAGAACAATATTTATGACTAGTTTTTTCGATATCAACTCCCACGCGAACGACATCGTGGACACAGCTAGTGCAAAATAAATAACGATAGGAACTTCACATTAGGTCGCGGGCCTGCCACGCGACTTTTATACTAAAACAGCCGCGCGACCTAATGTAGAGGTATCACATACTCTGCGGCCCGGTGCTGACACCCACATCGTTCTGTGTGGCCCTTGTAAAGAAAAGTCTGACGACCGCTGTACTAGATAGTTAGGACAACCCAGTTGATGCAGTTTCAATGTTGTTCGTGAGAATCGTGAGAGGATGTATAGTAGATCTTCTTTGTCTAAGTCCAAACTGGTAGCTTGGAATTTTATCACTGAGCAGTTGGAGTAAACGGTTTCGTAAGAATTTTTCAAAGGTTTTACCAATTACAGGTTTACCAATTACAGGCAGGAGAGGACAATAACTGTATTGTGCACATTTTCCAGTCGTCAGGTATATAATGTGTTTTAAGGCAAAATTCATAGCTTTTTATGATATAATCCAGCTTTCTCAACATGTTTTTTTCCCTGATAAAAGATTTCAAAATATTCTTCTTCATCTACATTGAATGTATTATTTTCTTGTGCGGGTATCTGCGACAAGAAGTTTTGTACCAATCGCTCACATTTTCGTAATAATTGCGGTCGAAGTTCAAGTTGAAGTTTTTAGCAAATATGTAAGCTTTTTCGGAAGGTAACTTATATTCAATATTGTTATCTATAATATTTTTAGTATTTATTTCATCTTTTTGTATTTGGATAATTTCTATATTTCATTCCAATAGGATTTGCCCCTCTTTTCATGAATGACTTCATATATTGTTATTTTGTACATAACAAAATCATTGATTGTCGAAATATGGTCTATTGTAAATGCAAGTTCTGGAATGTCATCAAAAAATTCTGGAAATTCTTTATATTGATCTAATGATTTTTCATTTTGATCTTTCAGAAACTTGAAGTAGAAATGCAACAAAAACTTGAATTGGAGGAAGAAACGTGCATCGAGTTGAAACAAGTTTTTGCAAGTTTGCAGCAACAGGTAGATTTCAAGAGAGATAAATTGAAAAGGCTAAATAGCAAGTTGCAATCTATCAGACAAGAAATCAGGGATAACCATGAAGTTTATGTCAAAGATAGGCAAGAAATTGAGGAAGCCAACGACGAAGCTGCTATGTGAGTATTAAAATCACTGTAGACATGCTTATTAAAATTCAACTGTAATAAATTCTAGGCACTTGAGAAAATGGTTTTTGATTATCGATAACTTCCTTCCTTCGGAAGAAAGAACAAGATTGATAAATTTGGCTCAGTATGATGACAACATTGATAATTGGGTTCTGAGGAAAGAAAAAATTAGGATAAACCCTGCTGATAGACCTTTTGCTCATAATTATAGAAGACCCATTTCAGATGCAGCTATACAGATGAGCCAAACTATGCCCAAGTATAGGGTGAGTTAACCTGTAAAGAATTGAAATAAAGTAGGAATCTTATTTATGAGAAAATTAATATTTTGAAATAAATTTTTTAAATATTCATCTCTCCCCACTTACCTACACAGTAGATTCTGGTAAATGCCTGCCGGAAAACAAATACTTTCCCGGCTAATACCACGCTGGACATTGAAATGTCGACCACTAAAGAAAGCTTGAGTATAGAATTTTTAATTATGAATAAAACAAGTTATTGACTAATTGGACTTTTCGGGTGAATTTTTCAGTTTGCCTTTCATTACTCAGTTCTGCTCTTCAGCAGATTCTCCATTGATTTAGATTTGTTTATTTTGTGGAAGGTTATAAACCCAAAAAACAGTAAGAAATATAAAAATATTCGTTGCAATAAATGAATTCATAAAACCAGGTAATACTTAAACCAAACAGCAAATGGTTATATTTCTGTATTGAATTTAATATTCTCGTCGTAGTAAATTTATAATGAAATCTTATTGACAGAATAGAAAGGCAAAACTGAAAAAATTGAACCCCTTTAAAAAAAACCATCAAATTGGTATCTTTTGCTATAAAATCGTATGTGCCCACATCCTATATCTACGTTTTTTTTCTATTTTATTTCTAAAAATAAAATCCCACAAGTCTAAAAAGATATAAGAGTTCCAAATTCTTAGCCTTTCAATATTTTGTGGCTCTTCATTTGCTTATCTAAAGAATTTTATAATCAAATAACAAAAGTACTTTACTGTGCTTTGGTTAGGATTAGATCATTACTTGAATATGAGACTAAAGTGTGGTCTCCTCTATACAGGGTGTAACTGAATAACTGTAAAACATTCAAGGAGGTGATTCCTCATCGAAAAAAAAGAAAGGATCTTTCATATAAAGAAACTTCATTGGAGCATCCCTTGTTAAGATACAGCCCCTTAAAGGGGGTACATAAAACTTGTATAACAATTTTTTTCACAAGCACTGAAAAAGTTACAATATTGAAATTAACCTGACGTTTTGTACTTCCAAAAAGACACTTAGCCAGAAATTTATTTGGTTCACACCATGGTTGTAGGGGGTGGAAAACGCAACCCCTAAAATTTATTTCCAATGTAACTTTTTGTCTTATTATTTGTTTACCATTTAAAAATTTATTTCCGATAGCCTGTTTCATTCTAAACNATATATATATTTTAATATATTTTCATTGTCATTAGTTTTTGAAATTATGGGTAATTTTGGTCTGTTTCTGTTTAATTGAATCGCTGTATGATGTGTGATTTTTCTTCAATAATAAACACTTGTCTTTTTTTGTAACATGATGACGTAAAAAAGCGTGATTCAAATCAAATCACACGCCTATAACCTGGCCACTATCACTCACTATGCTTCAATGAACAAAATAATAGTTCAAGGGCAAATGGCGAGAAAAAACTAATTTTGATGGACCTCATTTTTTGTAGGGTGAAAATGTGCTTGATCTCAAACTAGATATGCCTTTACGTACCACGCAAGATTACACCCCACCTTCAATTTGCCCACAAATCAAATCCATTGTGGGAGGTGTCATTCAAAAAGAAATCGATAACAACCGTATTGTAATAAAAATGCCAACACATGCTGTAGGAAGAAGTTCTTCATCTAAAATAGAACAAGAAGGAAAATACAAACAAGCTACTCGGATGATGGTGGATATGAATAGTTATAGGTAACATTGTTTATGAAAAATACTTTTACTTGAAGTTATAGAGATTTCTCAAGGACATAAATGAAACATTTATAACAAACGTTCTTTTCAGGCAGAACATTTCATTTCATTTAAAAATTTTCAGTATAGTGAAAATTTTACTTTGGATCATTGGTCGAATCAAATCGAATTGTTTTATTAAAATTTGGGTGTCTTTCGTACTAAAAAAAAAGAACGAGAGGGTTGATTTTTTGCAAGTCTCCTATCTAGTGTACTGACTATTGAATGATGTCATGTTTTATTACAGGAAACGATAGGCATGCTGAAAGCGCTTTTGAATGGAACAAGGAAATTATGAAAACTTAGACAAAGGGATATTTGCCAAGCCTTTTTACCTTTTTTTGTGATATACATATTACGTTTAAATGCGGCTCTTTTAGCAAATTTTATTTTTTATATTATATTAAAAAATATATGATTTCAGTAATGTTGGTTTCAAGCACTGTAGATATGAAATGTTTGTTGATCAGCATTTGGTGTATCAAATGTCATTATTTTGGAGCAAAATAATATTATTGTTTTAATATTCACAAATTAAAATTAAATATGAGTAGATAATATTCACTGTGATTATTGAGTCCTTGAAGCTAGTCCACTTTGTATTATTAAGGATAAGTAATGTGAATTTTGTGTCATGCTAGAAAATTTTACATTTTTTAACAGAATGTGAACAAAAAATAAAGAGAACAGGGAGGAAAATCGTTTTTTGCTTTTTAACTTATTTGGTTAATATACAGGGCGACTCAAAAGAAAATCATAAAAATGGTAGGAGATAAAGAGTTGGGTGAGTTGCAATAATTTTTTCTATTTCAGAGTATTATTGAATGATACTTCTTTTAGTTCCGAGAATATAACAAAGACATTGGAAAGATGATTAAACTTTGCCATAGAAACTTTCAATGGCTATCTGAATATGTTCAATTTTTTCTTCCAGTTTGTGTCTGAAAGTTGCTTCTTAGCATGATCTACACATCCATTTATAGAGTTACTTATTTTCAAATTGATTGCTTCCTTCCTTTCTTTGCAAGATTCCCACATTTTTTTGTATCATATGGAGTAGTAGAAAGCCAAAAACTTTCTTTTCCAATGTTCATAAAACTTCATAGACCCTCAACTATAGTATTTTTTTATTGTAGCAACATTTTCATAATATATTAAAGAATTCGATTTTTCTGATATTCCAGAAGAGTTTCGGCAATTTCATGACAATCGAAAGTAATGTTTTTTATTACAAATTTGATTATGTCTCGATTGAAAAAAATACATATCTACCATGTTTTTCAAAATAATTTTCAATGCCATTTACTTGAGTGAATAAAGAATCAAGTATCTGAATTGCAGAAATCTGTAAACCTCTGCAAAAATGTGATGATACCCTTTACCAGGAAGAGGTATCTGGATAATTCACTAAACTTTCCTTTGGTGATGAGGTTATTCCATTTACAGGGGAGGTGAAATATCTAAGTGTCATCCTTGATAAAAAAAAACTCCCTTGGAAGGCTCACTTTGAAAAGATTTCATACAAAGCCAGATTGCCTCTATGGACAAATCAAAGGAAAATTGGAATTGTTTGGGACTCAGGCCCCATAAAGACCCGTTGCATATAAATAAGTGATGTTCAACTGATACTACTTTTTGAATTGGAGCAATATGAAACAGTATATAAAATAAAAATACTTTCTTGAAAGTAAAATAATAAATACATATTTAACAACTAATTCCACATTTAAAGACGAAACACAAATCCTAGGGGTGAGAATCAAACAAAACGTTGTTTAGTGCAAATAAACCACAAATATTCGTTATATCATCTACTCTTTCACAGGTATGTAAAATACAATTCTGCATAATGACTACTGTATCCAAAAGATATTGTTTAGTGACCCAGTATGTTAGTTATGTTTCAGAAAACGCCTTTATACACAGCAGATTCAAAACTAGCAATGAAATGGAAACATTTCCTCAAAATAGGCAAATCAATCAACAAATTTTATGAGTTTACTCTTCAATAGAGATGATTTTACTTCAAGTACATAAAATACTGTGCATGTATGTTTGTGATTTCCTAATAGATTATCCAGTTTCTCATAACTAAATATGGAAAGCTTATTATAAGGATAGCTTGTATAAATGACCTGTTTTCCAACTGAACATACTTCACCATTTATCAATTTCATTTATTGGTTAGTTTATTTCCACCAATAAAACTTTCACTACAGAGATATTGAGGTCATTTCTGTTGAAATAACATAATATTTTCCAGAAATTTCAATACAAAATGTCACTTTGACAATCCTTTGTTTTCCTAGAGGTTTGCAACGCTATCTTGCGGCAATAATCATTGCTCTGTGTCTCTTTTGAAATTCTTACTATAAATCCGAGTCGTTAAAATACTCGTGTTCAAAGTAATCATGGTTAGCAGTCCTTGTCCTTGATAACGCTACTTCAAACTATCAAATGGTTTTATTGATACATTTTTCGAAGACAGTGATAAAGAAATAATAATTTTATTTCCTATATACAGGGTGTCCCTGGACTTCCTCTTAAAGAGGAAGTCCAGGGACACCCTGTATATAGGAAATAAAATTATTATTTCTTTATCACTGTCTTCGAAAAATGTATCAATAAAACCATTTGATAGTTTGAAGTAGCGTTATCAAGGACAAGGACTGCTAACCACGATTACTTTGAACACGAGTATTTTAACGACTCGGATTTATAGTAAGAATTTCAAGTCCCTGTAGAATATGTGCGATATAGTTTTTTTTCTTTTCTTATGATTTTCTGTTATTTGGTTATAATAGACTCATTTATTTTGATTTTTATGTATTATATTTAGATAAAGTACATTAATTATGTTTATATTGGGCTTGCCTATCTGGAAATAAAGTTCTTCTTCTTCTTCTTTTATAGAAATAAATTAACACTGGGTAATGAATCAAATATATTTGATTGACAATTTTTTAGGAACTTGAATTACCCCTTAAAAAGTGAATTTTAGTTCTGCGAGTCTATGAAATTGCAGCTTCTGAAAATTTGACACTGTTGTGTTGATGTGGAGCATGCGTACAGCACACATACAAAAGTTTTGTAATACTAAATTGGATAATTTTAGTATGAAAATAAAATATGGAGTGGCAACCCTGTGTAACCTCCATGTCCAAAGTTATTGTTATTTTATTTACTTAGAGTAACTTGGAGCTTTGATATTTGATACTGTGGCCACAGTAAATCAGTCAAATAAAGAATTTCTTCTATTGAAAAGAAACTAAGTTAAATATGCTGATTGGAACAATTCAACATTATGGAGAAAGAACTGTCTAACAAAGTATCCTATATAGATTTTTCTCTGATTTGTCGAACTTGTTTGAGTAAAGTTAATTTGAAGCCTTTGGAAGAAATTCCTTTTGGGGATTTATTGAAATCCTTAACAGATATTCAGGTAGAAATCACAAAACAAATATCAATTTTCAATTTCAATCCCTACTTTATAGATCGAACCCGATGATGGATTGCCAGGGAATATTTGTTACAGCTGCATTAACAAACTCGAGGAAATATCTACATTCATTACTGTTTCAAAAAATAATGATCAGTATCTCAAACATATTGTTCAGGTACCTAAAACTGATGAAGTACATTATGTTGAAGAAACAGAACAAGCAAATTTGAACTCTGATATTAAAGATGATCTTGATGATTCAGAAGTTTATGAAGAATTTTCGGAAGATGTGAAGACTGAAGAAAACAGTTCTGAATCACTGAAGGAGAAAAGAGTACCTTGCGAAATTGATGAAGGTGAAAAATCCAAAGACTCTAGTGAGAAACAAGAAATATTATGCAGTGTATGTAGCACAAACTTTTCAACAAAAAAATTGTTTGAAGAACATCAAAGAACCAATGTTAGCTGTAAAATAAAACAGTTCAATTGTAATGACTGCCATAAAGCATTTTTTTCGAAATTCAGACTGAATTCGCATATGAGAACTCATACAAAAGAAACACCATATGAATGCAAAGACTGTCTTAGGAAGTTTCGCCAAGCTTCTAATCTTAAGCGGCACATTGATATTATTCATAAAGGATTGAAACCATTCAAGTGTGAGGTTTGTGGGAAAGGTGAGTTTCTCATCAAGTCAAGTTAGACAAACAAAAATAAATCCAATATTCTATTATACAAGGCGAATGTTTTTGAGATAATTCCTTTGTGCTTAGGAAGCACAATTCCTTACTCTAAATCTTAAATTTCTTTTAATGGTTGTTAACAAATAGTTTGTATCTAAGTAGTGATGGAATAATTCTAATTAAAAATGTTCTGTACTTGGATTATTGAAATATTCAGTAAGTTCCAATTATGTAGATGAATAATCATATGCAAAAAATCAAATAATAGATCCGAGTTAATTTTAATCTGACTGCTTGCCTGCTTTCTGTGTTTTGAGTTGTGAATTGTAATTGAATAATCGGTTATGGTTATTTGATATTCAGTGTTGTGGATACAGAATGAATGGATAAGAATTTCAAAAAAACCTTTATTGTCCAAGCAGGTACAAAATCTACTTATAGGACAGCTTATACAACAATCGGTGAACAATGCTAATAATGATAGAATTTTTAAACATTTCAAAATAACAAATTTACTTGTAGTCGAGTGAAAAACATAATTCATAGGCTTCATATTGGCAATAGAGAAATTTTTGAATAATTTCATATCTCAAATACCCTTGATAGTGGATAAAAGATAATATAACAACAAATTAAGAATTGATTTGATAGTTGAATAGATGAAATACTATGAAATATAATAACAAACGAAATTCTTTGGTAAGTAATGCTGGCAAATACAAAAATCGCGTGATAGGTAGGTAGCTAATTTTTTGATATAATGAATTCAAAAAAATTATTGGATCCAAGCTTTTTGGAGATAGATTTTTAATATCTACTTAATGAATGATACATCCAATTCTAGAAACAAACTCATCAATAAGAACATGTATTATGTAATAAAAAGTGTTTTCTATTATATCACAGGTATTTTTGCTAAAAACTACCAGAGTCCTATCGGACTATCGAAGGGTAGTTCATTTTGCTGTACTATTTGAATAAATAAGCATTTAAATTAATATCTGACTGTTGAAATACTTTGATAACAATTAATCAATTATTCAAATAATCTGATTATGCCATGCCCATCATAATATGTAGTTTTTGATAGTAGCAACATTGATTGTATAAGTTGAAATGCTAGAATGGAGGCATGTAGTTTTAGCAATGTCTGTTGCACATTTAGCAATAAATTCACCTATTGGTCAATTTGAAACATATTTGATCTCCATTGTTTGACTAAAAATACAAATTAAACATTACTGAATGAACTAACTTGGCGACAGTATGATGTAAAAGACAGTAAAAGAATTGAGACAGTTTGGGTATGATTCTCTATTTGAATATGTTGAACCATTCATTAGATATTTTGATGGCAGGTTGTGTTTCAGTTTGAAAATGAGATTTACAACATGAATACAATCGCCATTGATAACTTTTTGTCAGATGAATCAAACCAAATGATAAAAATTTTTAATTATTATCAATCATAATGAACTCAAGCCACTTACTGAAATATTATTTTAAGACACCAAAAATTTACTTTCAACAAAATATTTATCAAATTTATACATTGGCACTACTTTTCACTATACTTTGGCTCATGACTACTTGACTTAGCAGAGGTGATACTCTGCTAAAATGCTATAAAAGTGGCTACAGCTATCATCTGCTACAATAATTAGAATACAATAACAAAAACAAATCATATATTGCCAGATCTACACATTTTATATAATTTTAATCAACAAAATTATCAAAATAACCCTGCAAGAGCATTCTAATCACAACTCAGTCACAAAATGTTTCCCGTTTTCATACCAATTCACATAAATGCTACCTTAGGAGCCATCTATGCTTACAGAACCTCCTTTAGTTTTGAAATGAAAAGAAATCATTCGTTGAAGCTCATAGAGAATAGGTGTTTCTTCAATACAGTACAGTGCAATATAGGAAACATTTCAGTAATGAGAACATATGTGATGAAATCAGCCGGTACTCGATGAAAATCCATAATGTATTCAAGAAATACTCAATTGTGAGATTTTTCATTAAACAGTTTTATAAAAACGCAACATGTGTTTCGCTATACAATAGGTCCTTCAGCCGTGTCTTTACTTCATATTGAGAAGATCATTAAAGAAACATTAGACAATTTTTTTATATTTTCATAAACCTCACGCTTCAGCAATGGCAACCAAGAAAGATCCATTTCCACAAAGCTATATGAAATACATTAGTTACCTGTTGAAAGGATTCTTTGAATTTTATCCTTTTTTTTTTCTAAGGTCCTTTGGTGAATATTCAGAGAAGCACTTGAGGAACTCGCCTCAAAAAACAGATAAAAGGGGCTGATTTGGTCAAAAATGAATGACCAGGTCAAAGCGTGGGAGCAAGTAATGCTCTGCGAATGTCCTGTTATCCTCATATTGCATCTGAAGTTTTTGATTACAGCTACGATGGTTGCACGAAGCTTATCAAGGCTTTGTAGCAGTTACTAGTAGAAACTGAATGGGAAATGGCGATTTTCGTTCAATTCAATTCGTTCAATAGTTGTTTTGAATTGACTTTTTTTATTTGAGTATTTCAATATTCATGTGAGTGTAGTTGTTTCGGAAAGGCTTTTTTTTCCAGTTTTTATCTGAAAGAAACTTCTGTGTTTGCTCTACATACATATCTTCAAAAAGCGTTTTTATTATATTAAGTTTCTTCTTTCTTTGGAAGTTTCCGACATTTTTTGTTGAATCATGGAGAAGTAGGAAGCAAAAAAGCTTTTTTCCAAAAAAAAATAATCTCTCCTCAAAATATTCCAGTTTCAGTTTAAGTGAAAATACTTATTTTTTACAGAATTCTCAAGACTAGTAGCAAAGAATGAACATACATATAAACATACAGGACAAAAACCGTATGTGTGTAGTTATTGTGGAGAAACTTTCAATACCTACTTGAAACATTTTACACACACCTACTTGCACAAAATCGACAATGGAGAGATTACAGGAAGAACAATGGTTGCTAGAAAATCGAACACCTCCGAACAACTTCTTGTAGAATGTACGGTTTGCAACAAAACTTTTTCTTCCCCCAGAGCTATTTTTCAACACTCACATGCTAAGGAGTCATCAGGAAAAGAATTTCTGTGTGCAGTGTGTGGCAAGGCATTTTTGCGAAAATCCCAGCTGCAGACTCATTCACTCATACATTCTGGAGAAAAGCCGTTCATTTGCAAACACTGCGGTAAACAGTTTAGGCATGCCAGTGGTTTCAAAAGTCACATTTTGATACATACTGGAGAAAAGCCGTACCGTTGTCCCACCTGTCAAAAGGGTTTTGTCCAATCGGACCACCTCAAACAGCATATGAAAGTGCATACAGGGGAGAGACCCTACAAGTGTAGTTTTTGCGAAAAATATTTTGCCCACAAGTGTAACTTAGTGGTGCATGAAAGGGTCCATACAGGGCAAACTCCTTACTTTTGCTCTATTTGTAAGAAGGGATTTTATGACTCCACAAGGATGAAAAAGCACGAGAAAGGACATGCCAATCAGGCCAAGAAGAAAGTAGGTTGAAAGAGTTTGAAAACTTAGTTCCAGGTTTGAAAATTATTTAAAAAAAATATTTTTTATTTCATTAGAATATATAAATTTTCTGTAACAGTGAAACAACAAATTATAATTTGTGACAATTAATTATCATTAATCAATTTGCACTGATCTCTGTTTAAAAAAAAATCTGTTTAAAATCTGTTTTTCCGTTAACCAGCTGTCGCACCCCTACGAACGACAACCCTCAGAAGTCGAAACTTGTGCGAGCTAAGGATTAACGAGGTCTTACCTTTTAACGTGTGATTCCTAACACGGGTTGGACGATAGCAAGTGAAGATCGATCGTTCAGACTAGGGCTTGAACCACCGACCAACACGGCAGTCAATTCGAGTGAGTGAACAAATCACCCACGCCAAACCGCTTGGCTACCGACCGACCAATTTGCACTGATCTCTCACTATAATCAGCTAGTCATTCAAATTGTTTAAAAAGTTTATTAAATTAATTTTTTTTTTCTGAGTATAATTGAGAAGTGAACCATGAAGGAAAGGAAGATGGTTTGATTTGTTTTAATGGACCATAGAGATTAATGGCATTATACACTGCTTTCTTGAAATTAATTCTTATTTTTGTCTCTGCAAGATTTGATTATTCTTAATCTGATGTTTTTTTTTGTTGGTATATTATTGATCTATTTTATTCTTAGGTTGTTTTTACGGGATTCTAACTCATCCTTCAGAGTCTTCAGGAGTTCATGTTGCATAGGGGTTTGATTATTACCAATATTCATATGTTGACTGAGGATTATTTTCTTCTTGTACTTCAATAGCAGTATCAGAGCTATTCAATATGATTTTTAATTACATTGGTCGACCACCTTGTTTGCAAAACTCACATTGATTTAACAACAAAATTAGGGTCGATTATAGATGATGGTATTTTGATCTCAGTAATTTCACTTTGTGATCTAGTTTAAGACGAAACGGACTGGTTTAAGTTTGACGATAGTCATGTCACGAAGTGTTCTGGCGATGCATTGAATTTATTGGAGCCCCTGTAGACACCCTACATTTTGTTTTATAAGAGAGAGGACATTGTTAGATCAAGATCTTCAGATGATGTGGTGCTGCAGGTTTTTCCGGGTTTTCCTGCAGCTGAAAAAGCAAATGCGCCACTGGAATCAATGAAGTCGCCCCGGAGCGCCAATTAATTTTTATTGTTGTTTTTATTTTTATACAAATATATAAATGTTTGAGACATACCAGAACATTTTTTGCTCATTTATTTTTCATATTCACTACTACTCAAAATGTAGACAGTCATGGTGATCAAAAACATTGCTTTTACCATTTAAATTGATGAATAAGTCGTTAACTTGCTTTAACAGACATTGTTCTTGTAAAAGGCAGTTGGCAGTTGTCCCAAAAATATTTTAGTGCCCTTTTAGTTTTAGGTGTAAGATCCCTACAATTGTGGTGAATTCATTGATTACAGTCATCATATACACATTATTAGTCATCGTTTATAGTTTGTTTGCATTTTAAGCACAGCATGATGAATAAAGTTAACGGGTCCACCCAGTAGAAATCAGAAATATGTTTCAGATATCGTTAGGGGTATTTTTTCTTATGAAAATTTCTGTTCACTATTAAACGAGTCTTTTGTTGACAAATTGCACTTCAACACATTGTTTTTTTTTTAATTATGCAGTAGAAAAATGAACCTTTGTACTGCAATTAGGTATAACTATTCACTTTCAACTTCTGAAATAGCTTTCAAACTGGAGCACATAAAATTCACATTGTTATTTGTTGAGATGATAATAACGAATGCTTGGAAGTCGAGTAGTCATTTGTAATGTTGAAATTAAAAAAATATTGGGTAATATGAAACTGACAATTTTTCAAAAATATTCTTGCAAATGATAAGTTATAACAAAATAACTTCGCATACAAGTTTTTCCTAATGTAAGGAAAACGAGTTGTACAGAGAGAGAGAGAGAGAGGGGGGGCCTAATTTCATACCTTGTAGCACTGAGCATTTGACAGTTCCAAATTCACTTAGGGTTTCTTGAATGTCAAGGAAAATCTTTCAGTCTCTCATTAGTACTTCTTCTACAGCTCCCATGAGTTTTTGTAGCTCATAGTATTGACAGTTTAGTCATAGACATTATACGGTATTAATAGGTTAGGTCCAAAGTCTATTCGACCCTCCATCGCAACCCGCAAGGGTTTATTGTGGCTCGGTATCAATAGGTACATGAAAATATTGGTTTACTTTGTCCAAGTGGATATGGGGTGTAAACCGACTCGGGTTGGCCCCTCTCTTTGTATCAATTAGGATTTTGGTGGTTTAAGTTGTTTTCTAATTTGGATTGATTTATATGATAGAATTGGCCGATACTTGATGAAAATCTATAGCTAACGTATTTAAAAAAACACTTTATTGTGAGATTTTCACTAAAGAATTTAACAAAAATGCAACACATGTTTCGCCATACAATGGCTTCTTCGGACATGTCTTTACAATCTAATCATCATGAACAATCAATATATATACTGTTCCATAAAATTTTATAACAAGTTACCAGAAGAAACATCAAATCTTATGCATAAAGTTGATTTTCAAATTATTTACAGAAATTAAACTCATTTCAGTTAGAAAGAAGGATACATCCTAATATATAAAATAAAAATACACATTCTCATGAATGATTAATTGTATGTTATTATTAAAATCATTACTTCTACCTCATTTTCAGAATTTGCTACCCTCCTGAGAATAACCGAGCACGCGAGAATTCACACAGGAGAACGTCCACACATCTGCAGTTATTGTGGAGAAAGTTTCAAGAAATACTCCACCCGTTCTGCCCATGAATTGCGCCACAAAGTAAAAAATGGTGAAATTCCAAAGAGCGACAAGATTCCCAAAAGGTACCCCCGCAAACAACCTTCGGACCCAGAAGAGTTGAAATGCAACATTTGCAAGAAAATATTTTCTTCCAAGCAAGCGGTGGTTGTCCATAAGCAGATACACCTAGGCGAAAAATCTTTCTTGTGTACAGTGTGCGGAAAGGGCTTCATGCGCAAGAGCCATCTGGATGTACATCTGAGAATCCACACCGGGGAGAGACCATTCGAGTGCGGAGAGTGTGGAAAACGCTTCAGACAAGCCACATGTTTCCGGAACCATCTTCTGATACACAAAGGCCAAAAGTCTTTCAAGTGTGATGTGTGTGAAAGAACTTTCGTGCAGATCGGACATTTGCAAAGTCATCTCAAAACTCACACGGGCGAAAAACCTTACAGGTGTATGTTTTGCGGAAAGGAGTTTGCGCAGAATGGAAATTTGAAAGCACACACTAGAACTCATACAGGAGAGCGGCCTTACAGGTGTACAGTTTGCTCTTCAGGCTTTCATGACTTGCCTGGCCTCAAGAAACATTTGAAGAGCCACAAGGTGAAAGTAGAGGACATGTCACATAAATTACAGGTTATAAAAAATGATACGTAATGATTGATTTTTGTGTGAGTGACCACGGCTTTTTCTTTTTGTAAAGAGGTTAAATCTGTTGCAAGAAATTTTTGAACAATATAAATTTACATATATATTTCTATTCATTTTATCAATAAAGGATTTTCAAAGATTGTCAAAGAAAATATGAATATGTGTGTTTTCATGAATTATGAAAATTATGAAATAATACTGGGAAATTAATGGAGAAACATTGAGTATGAAACAATTTGAGATGAGTCACCTCCTGATTATGCTAACTTGGTTTGCGAAACACGCATCGGTAGACAGTATTTTTGTTCTAGTGTGAAAAAAGTGTTTCTAATAAACAAATGTATTGTAACTCAAGACTCCATAGTGGGGCCTATAATATATAATTCATGTAGACACACAGCCTCAATGCATTTTGAACGAACTTAAAACACAGTTAAACATTAGATATCTTAAATTCTATCATACATAACTGATTTCTTTCAAACACATTCAAAGCAAATAACTTATAAACTGGAAGTAACATACTCATTACGAAAAACAGAAAAAAATCTTTCACAGCCAAAAGTCGATGACATTTTATCAAAAATAAAAAATTGACATTGAAAGGTAGAACTGAAATCTCTGGTACAGAATAAATCCAAAACAAGCACTGCTTTCAAACACCAGAACTGCAACTCCCTTCATCTCCTGTTGACGCCAACTTAACATTAGTCAAGTTTTGGTGTTTAAGAACAGTAAGAACTTGTAGAAAAAGTCTCATGTGAACACCACACGATACATTTATGGAAAGGTCATCACACTACCTAATAAGTACAGTTTTGAAAACTTAATTACTAAATCGATGGGTGTAGCCATTACTACGTGGTAGGAGGTCATCATGAAAAATGAGAAATAAAACTTTCTATGTTTTTTTTTACCACTTTTCTTTGTAACTAATGTTACTGCAGTTTTATCCTATAAGGACATAATTGTTTGAAAATGCCCTTATAGGATGAAACTGCAGTAACATTAGTTACAAATGTAACTGATGTAAAATAACGTCAAAAATTGATTACACAGACATTATTAAATTCACTGAATATTTGGCAGTCAGCAAGTTTAAAGCATTCTGGAGCTTTATAAATTCCAAACAAAAGCAAAATATTCTACCAGATGCGTTGTATTATGAGGATTGAGCTTGCCAATATGTTCCAAGACTACTTTAGCTCAGTTTACTTCATGACTAGCTGTCCCAAGTATGGACCTGTGAACTCCCCTCTCTTGTCTGTTTCCAATCTGTACCTGTCAATTTCCGAAATCGTCCTGGTCCAAATGGTATTCCTCCATCAATATTAAAGAACTGTAGCTTTGTCTTAGCACGACCTTTACACATTATCTGCAACAACTGTATTTAACAGGGCATTTTTTCAGGCTTCTGGAAATATAGCTTTGTAAACCCTATATACAAATCTGGTGAAAAATCTGATATTACAAACTTTAGAGTGATCCGCATCCAAAGTGGCATTCCCAAAGTTTTAGATTTACACATTAGTAAACACCTGACACTAATCCTAGTTCCTTTACTTAACGATCAATAATTTGAATTTCGCTCAGGGAAGTCGAACATCTAGATGGCCAAGTTCACTCCATTTACACAGTCCAAGGCGTTTGATGAAGTTAACTATACTCATTTATTACAGAAACTTGAACATATGGGAATTTGCGGCATAAACTCTCATCTTGATTACAAATTTATCTCACTAATCGGATACAGATAACTCGAGTTGATGGATTTAAATTTTCTGGAAGTTTAGTACCATCCAGTGTTCCTCAAGGATTCCATTTGGGACCATTGCTGCTCAATGTTTTTATGGACGATATTCAGTACTGCTTTTCTAAATCAGAATTTCTAAGCTTCGCAGATGATTTCAAAGTTTACAAGAAAATTGATTCACCGGACCACTGTAAATAACTTCAGAGCAAGCTGAACCAACTATTCAGTTGCTGTTTTGACAATGGTAGGGAACTTATTAATACACGTGAATGCCTTTCCATAATTTTTAGCTGTAAACGTATCCCTTCAACATTCTCTTATACTATTAATCAAGTTCCACTCAGTACTGTTACAGAAATAAAAGACTTGAGTTTACTCCTAGGCAGCTCAATTTCATTTCTGCCTCACATGTCAGGCACTGTTAATGTCTCTTAAAATTATAGGCTTGCTAAGCAGATCCCCTGATATCAAATGATTAAAAATTCTCTACTGCTCTCTGGTAAGATCTCATCTTGGATACGTATCTTCTGTATGGAATCCATCATATGCAAGCCACATCCATATATTAGAACAAGTTCAGAGAAAATTCCCATGATTGATCGCATTCAAATACAGAATTAATCCTGAGAACAACATATATAACTATCCTCAACTACATTATTTCATATATCTTGAAACACTCCGTTACAGAAGGGATATTGAAGACTTGAAGATATTTTTTTAAATTATCAATGGAATTGTTGTCTTTTCCTCATTGCTATCCAAGATCGGACTTTCAGCCTCTACTAAATTTACCAAAAATACAACATTTTCTCAACCACACTGTAGAACAAGTCAGTACCTTCATTCCTTTCTACTACGAACTATAAGAGAAGCAAATAAAACGGACCTTCATTTCTTTACTTCCGCATCAGAGTCCCAGTTCCAGAGGCAGCTTGATTCAGGGTGGAATATGTAATTTCTGAGAACGTCTTTCTAATAGAACATTTAATCTAGTGACATATTTTCATATGTACATCTAAAAAAAAAATCTGTTTTTCCGTTAATCAGATACGAACGACAACTCTCAGAAGTTGAGAAACTTGTGCGAGCTAAGGACTAACGAGGTTTTACCTTTTAACGTGTGATTCCTAACACGGTTGCAGAATCATCCCAGCTTCAACCAGATAAATTCTATCGAGAAAAATATCTGGTCGAGGCAGGAATCGAACCCACGACCTTCCGATCTTGAGTCGGGCGCATTACCACCGCGGCCAATCCACAACATGTTTTGAGGTTCAACTCAGTACACCTCGAACTTTACTGTTCAAGAACTCTTCCATCTGGAGAACTGCGTTTATGTGGAATACACTTCCTGAGACCGTTTTTCCAAATGGATTTAATCTCCAGCGATACAAATCCAATGTGAATCGCACAGGCACCGCTCTGAGAGCTCCTTAAGGGTTTTCCTGTAGTGCTTGTGTTTTGTCCTTAAAGAGGTTATTTGGATTAAAAATGATTTGTAGATTATATTATTACCCTGGTCTAGCCGACTACAGCTATAGCTATTTTGTAGCTATCCAGGAGAATAACTCAGCTGCTCATCAAAACATTTTACCTTTGAAGTCCTCAGGACTGGTGGGATAAAGTCCCACCCAAGTGATACATTGAAACATTAACCAGAATTTTATTTTGAACACCATACTGTGCTGATTTCTGACCAGATGCACAAGATATCATAAAGCATACAGGACGACGATGAAATCATTGAACATGGTGCCATTCAGTTGTTTCTGGGGAAAAAATGAAATTCATGTAGTTTATTGGAGCCAATATTTCTGATGAAAAAATAATTGTAAATCTATTTTCGAATGGAAATGAACTCAATTCAAGAATTTCTAATAGAACCTAGTATATTTTTTCAGACCATTTGATAGAATAGAAAATTCTCTTTTCAACGATTTAATAAAAGTGATCATTTTTTATCAAAATGTTGATTTTGCTAATTATATAGGCCAATAGCAAATGAAAATATTATCAAATCAATATGCCGTTCATACTTTTATTTTTCGAAATATTTTTCTTCTGTGGTTGTGCATGGGAGGTGTTTTTCAAGGTTTGCAATATGCAGAATAATACCATTTTGCCTGTTATCTGGACGAATAACTTTAATGTAATTGAATTATTTTCATTTGCCATTAGAAAAGTTTCATGTAAAGTACAGAACGTTCCTCAAAATTTTATATTTCCATATGATTTTTACGCATTTCATACGAGCAAAAATTCAAAAAGGTTCTGTTTTTCAACTTTGCCTGAAGAAAACTGAATCACTTTATTATATACACTTATAATTTTTGCCACGGAGCTGAAACTAGTAAGATGCCCTCAGAGGAAAGACAACAGTTTCCTTCTTGGGGGCTTACAGCTTGAGGTAACTGATAGTTTCTACTTAATGACATGGTTCGATTTGTATTATTGGAGGATTCTTGTCTGTGAGCCAAAACCTCCACCAAATTTGGGGTAATTTTGCATTGTATGTCTTCTGGTTTGAATCCCCTGGCATCTATTATCAATTCAAATCTATCTTGGTGGAAGAACACGGTGTCCATTCTGAGAGCATGAAAATAATTGCCACTTTCTGAATCTTTATTTATAATATCTTTGAATTCAAATCCGAATTCTTTCAAAGCATTCCTTGCACCTTGAAAACATTTATCTTCGAGGAAAGACAGACTTTGTTTGACTGGAACTAGTAATTTTGAGGATTTTGAGAATAGAGACATATTTTGTGTGAAATACTGAAATTTCATTTTTGTTGTTCACTCATGATTTAGTTTTGAAAGTCTTGACACCAATGACAGTAAATACGGGATTTGTATGCAAATTAATTTAATTAGAAATTGGGCAGTTTAGTTTAGTTAATTTAAAAAAACAATTTTCATATGTAATGTATTAATTAATAGATGGTAAAAATGTTGAAGCCCAGTCATGCATTTCTGAATTTCGTAACTCACAAAAATATACATGCTTTTTGATTTTGGCAAATGAAGTCCATAGAAAAAAAATATAAAAAAGTCAATGTTGCCAATGCCAATATAAAATTATCAAATTTCATAATCTCACTGATTTCACCATCAAATTCCCCAACACAATTAGAAATTCCCCGAACTATTCCCCACACGCAAGTTCGGTATCAATTTTATTGTTCTGGTAAGGTGGTCATGGTCCCACTGGTTGTAAACGCCATGGTATATGATTAAAATGAAGCGCAGAGAGTCCACATATTTTTATTGTTTCTTAGAAATTAGACTTTATACTCAAAATTTGGACTTCAAAACCGACATCTCTGAAATAACACATTGAGTTACATTTTGATATAGACATTGATATTGACATCTATCAGAGACAAAGCATTCCACCGAGGAAAACAATAACTTTTTGATGTCAATAAGATATTATTATGTAACATTGTCTTGAGAAAATCATTCTTTGTGATAAGAAGTGGCGAGTTAGATATAGAGGAAATATAATTTTGTTATATTGTTCAGAGCAAAATAATTGGCTTCTCCGTGATATTACATTGAATAATGAATATCGAAAGGTATCAATCAATGTGCCTAACATAAGAAAGGAAAATGGGGAATATTATGTGAGTTATTTTGTTTCTTTCCTCTTTTTCTTAAAGTAGCATATTTCTCAACGAGATAATTGATAAATGAAATATCCAATATACGAGTCTGTCAAATCGTTTGGATAACTGTCATGAGACAGACACATCCAAAATAACAATTTGAATAGCGCATTAATGTCGTTCCTCGCAAGTACTGTGACATAACGTACATTGGATAAACCAAACAATATTTGAGAAACGATTGACGCAACACGAATATGATTGTTCAGACTCTCACAAGAAAAATAATAACAAAACAGCCCTCAGTGAACGTCCCTTCTATTTGAGTCACCTTTGATTTTAACTGTACTGAAATTATAGACAGGAAAAATGTTCTAAATTTTTTTTTAATACGGCTTGCATTATCAGTGCGATAAATGTGTGAACTTGAACAACATACATAGAAATATTTTTAAACACGCAAATCCACCTTAAGATAGTCCACAAATAGTTTTATGATTCTATCAGTTATTGAACTGAAAACCTCGCTGCTTTATCTTTGAATTGGTTTGGTGAATGTTGATTCATTATAATGAGTACAACAGCTTACTGGAAATTTCAACAGGTATTTTAATGTGTGATTTTAATTGTTATCTCCCCTAGTTTCCATTGAGTTCAATGTTTTCAATTGTACGAGCATGTACCTCATATTTTTCATCTTCATTTCTCTAGAGATTTTCCACAAAAAACACCCATTTCACTTTAACAACATACTCAGATATACAATTTGAGTGAGTACAAACGAAGAACGATATCGTTTTTATATATAGACTAACCTCTATATACAATGATATCGTCAATAGTTTTTCTGGAACTTTTCAACAAATTATATCTATTTTTATTATAACCCAGAAGATGGCGACAAACGTCGCCCAAACGTTGGCAATTGAATTTTGAGTAAATGGGTACGTCGTGGTTTTATATCCAGCTGCCAGTGAATACCTCGCAATCAGAAATAATTAACCATAATAAAATAAAAACGACTTGCACGATTCGAATCATACAATACTATTTTATAATATCACAAAAGTGATACCTTTCAACATGAGTTGAAACAACTCGAAATATGCCAACATAATAGCATTTATTTACAAGGGAAGTCATGAGTTCTAACGACATACGTCCAGATTGCTTCTCATTCCTCTCATACAGCTGAATATTCACGTATGTTTGATTAACTCTTGTATTGCTCAAATATGGACCAGATTTTTAGGCTATTGATTTGTCGAACATAAAGGTAAACAAATCCCCGTTCTTGTCTTAAGAATGTGCTCAAGATATAATCAAAACGTATAGAAACCGCTTCGTTTTTGTTTCGGTCAAAAACTCTCGACATGAGAAATGAGTTTGAACAAACTTTGTATACATGTCGGTAGATGGTGTAAGAACCAAAATCTGTCGCTCTTATTCTGTTGAGATCTTCAGTTAATAGACCAAAATGTCACCCATTATCAATTTATACCCAAATGTACACCAGATCAAAAATTGAAGTGCCAACTTGACATTGTCAAGTAGTGTCACTTGTACTCAGAAACAGTGAATGGAATATTGAAATTCATGGGATATTTTCATTTATTCATCAAGAGTTGAGGTTGAGAGTTTTTGACAAAATATTTTACTATTTTACATAAGGATGAGTTCCAAGCAGGGCCGTAGCGAGAAGAAAAACCAGGGGGGGAGGGAATCCAAATTTTCCCAACCACACCAGCAAAATTTCCCAACTTTCGAAATATTTTTTTCTATCTTCATGGCCCAAAATTTCCCAACTTTTTCCCAAGTCGATCAGATCAGCTATACTCTATGCATTTTAGATATTATTATGAGTTTGTAATTTTCTATTACAACATTTTTTGAAATGAGTATAAAATTATTATACAACTTGACCCGTGGAAATCCTAATCATCTTAAGACTAGGGCGCGATTGTCTGTTTATTGGTGCTATACATTTAGGAATATTGTGAATTCGAAAAAGGGTCAGAAGATGATTAATCAAAAATTGGGATATTAGATTTATCGAATCTCGCAGTAATGAATGGTTCAACTGAAAATTGTCAACATGAATAAATATTTTGAGTTGAAAATTTTCAATAGAATTCCCCAAATTCAAATTTAAATGTTGGTACCTGCTATATCCGTGTTCCATAAAAACGCTAGCGACACCTATATCCTTCTTCATCAAAAGTTGGCGTTGTTCTCTTGGGGGTGTAAAGGGATTTTGTTTCAAGAAAGTAATTATTAATTTTTACTTGCATTTCTCAAAATACTCATTGAAAGTGTGTTGAAACCAAACATTTAACTCAGGGGGCGTTTCGAAAAAGGTGAGCTTTTATCAACGAGCGTGTACAATTATTTATGTGGAGGTTTTTCATAAATGTTTGAGGCCGCCATGATGGCGTCTTGAAGCCGCTTCAGTTTTTGATATTCCATTAATTATTTTCTTTCATTTTTCAGATCCGACCATGGCGTCGGAACAATTTTCTTTGTGTTGGGATAATTTCCACAAAAATATGAGTTCGGGTATGAATTCGTTGTTGGAGAATGAAGACTTGGTTGATGTTACGCTTGCTGTGCAAGGCAAATGTTTAAAAGCTCATAAAATGGTGCTTTCCGTGTGTAGTCCATATTTTAAAGAACTTTTCAAATCAAATCCGTGTCAACACCCGATTGTTTTCATGAAAGACGTTAGTTTTGAAGCTTTAAGTGATCTACTACAGTTCATGTATCAGGGTGAAGTACAAGTTAGTCAAGAAAATTTAACCACTTTTATCAAGACTGCCGAGGCCTTACAAATCAAAGGACTCACGGGAGACGGCAATGTAAGTTACTTTACATCATCAATCATTGTAATTACTGTCTTTTTCTGGCATCAGTATTTGTTATTGTCACCTTTTTTCAACCTGCCCATACCACCTTCACCGATTTCTGTCAATATTCTTGCTCATCATTCTGTGAATTTATATGAAAATGGCGAATCTGATAAATTTTCTTGTATTTACCAGAATTTTATGTTTATTTTTGTTGTAAACATGAATTAAAAGTAAATATTGGAATAGGATGATAACATTATAATGAATTTCAATACAAATTAAAAGTGAACACAGTTAATATAATGAGAATAGTTGATACAGAAACACTACCTCTATCTCATTGGAATGTCACAGGGAGGAAAACATGAATTTTTATTATGTATTATTATGCCTACATTTGGACAATGAAAATATACATGCTTCATTAATTATATACATTCTTGTGAATGTCCCTTTAAATTTAGGCAATAAAATGAAATTTGCATGCAATATTTTGCACAATAAAGAGTTCTTTACATTACTTTAATTAATTCTCCATGCCATTACCAGCATTACCTTTGTTTGTATACATTTTTCAGTATCATTAAATATCATATGAAGAAAAATTATGGTTGTTGTTTGCACTTATCCTTTTTTTGATCAACAAAAAGTGCCAAAATCTGACTGATTTTAGGTATAGTTACTAGTTATTAGGTTTAATTCTGTGGTATTGTTGCATATGCCCACTAAAAGTAGTTTTGAACTTTTTTTTGACTTTAATATTTTTGTCAGCTTATGAACAATCTGAAGTCAAAACTTAGTGGCCCATTCTTTTGGAGGTACTGCCACTCAGAAGAAAATCTGAAGTCAAAACTTAGTGGCCCATTCTTTTGGAGGTACTGCCACTCAGAAGTTGAAACTGATGATCAATCAAATATTTTAGGAACTCCTAGCAATGAAAATTGATAAGTGACGAAGCATTCACCCACTTCAAAAGTTTCCTGAATTCAAAACTTCAGTTCACTAGAATTTTTATTGTTTTCAATATTATGAAAAGTCAAAGTACAAACATTTTACCAGATTTTGAAAATTTCACTTTGCTTTACCCTAGAAGACAAAACAGATTTATTACTTATTGTAAAGCTTTCTTTGTTAGCCCTTAACATAAATTGTATTTGTCAATTCATCCTTCTTTGATTTTACCCAATTTTGAAAAATTTACTTATCTTTGCCCTAGTTGAATGAATCTGTATTTTGGCAACCCTGATTAACTAATTCTAGACTGTTTTTGACGATCAGTTATCAAGTTTAAAATAAAACTGCTGTTTTAATTGCAGTGATAATTGCAGCAACTATTTGCATACACTAAAAGTTGCAAAGTATAAAGCGGTTTTAAGACATTACATTTCATTTGTTGCTCTATGATTGAAATTATTTATGTGAAGAGCAGAGGTAAGAGACATATTTACTTTTAACTGATTATTTCAAAAATACAGCTGATTTTTTACTTCTAGATTTAAAAAATTCGATAAATTTTCGTTATGTGGACACCCGGCGATTTTGAAAAAATTTTTGACTGTACTTACGTATTCTGATGCGTAGATTACGAATCCGAAAGAAAAAAGCGGCGCTCTCCCTTATTTAAAAAGTTACGGCCCTTCAAAGTTCAGAAAAGGGCAACTTTTCAGCCTTCTTTTTCACTGAATAAACTATCTAAAAACACAAGCATTTATTCACTAGGTCACCTTTACACCTTATTCCTCCTTTAACACTTTTCACTTCAATAATCAACATTTTCCTTATAAAAATGTTAAAAAATGTACGGAGCTGCTTTTTGGTTACATATCACTGTATTTTACGTTTTTAAGGTTAATGATACGGTTGGTACGACTGATGCAGTCCATATTCCTGAAGTAATTCAAATGTTTTTTACCTTCATTCTTTAGATCGTAAATTGGTTTTTCGTGGTGTATTACGAATTTGAAATAGTAGGCGACGGCAAATACCAATCGCTTTTTTCTGAAATGTCACTAGTAACTAACCTAAAAATAGAATAATGTCACCAGGAGAAGCATTCGTTTTTAAATTTAGTTTTTTATAAGAAAAATGTTGATTATTGAAGTGAAAAGTGTTAAAGGAGGAATAAGGTGTAAAGGTGACCTAGTGAATAAATGCTTGTGTTTTTAGATAGTTTATTCAGTGAAAAGGCTGAAAAGTTGCCCTTTTCTGAACTTTGAAGGGCCGTAACTTTTTAAATAAGGGAGAGCGCCGCTTTTTTCTTTCGGATTCGTAATCTACGCATCAGAATACGTAAGTACAGTCAAAAATTTTTTCAAAATCGCCGGGTGTCCACATAACGAAAATTTACCAAAAATTCAATATCTCAAATTATCTATAGGACAATAAAATATAAGCTTTTTTGTTTACTACATAATTCTCTAAATGTCACTTTTTTGACACCTTTTCTAAAATATTCAGCATTGAATTCATTTTTATGAGTTATAAAAACAAAATTTCAATAGGTTGAATAGCAAAAATTCTAAAAACATTTATTTGTAAGTTGGTTTTCATATATTCCTATGGATTACATTTGAATGCAAGCTGGCTAATTTATTCTGTAAATCCGGCCAGTGTAATGGTAATTGGCAATGAACAGGAAGGAATTGAAATGTGAAAACTTGGATCCTATGAACTGTTTCAGATTGATTTCAATTGTATAAAAGAATGAGTCATCTTATTCTGTTGTACAATAGGTCATATATAAATATACAATTAGAAAAGACATGAATCTCATTCCCATCCGCTACAGTTAACCTTTAACTTTGTCTGGTCAGGTGTTAAAACTGAGGAAACTTGAGTAGTAGTCTGAATAACATATGTAAAATGGAAGTTTTATATACTATAATGTAAATACAGTTTCAACTTATTAAAGTTTGCATAGTGGCCACTATTCCTACTTATGTTGAGGTCATGTGCTGAGAAATTTTTATTTTTTATTTGGCATTTGAAGGCTCTCAATCTAATGTATTTGAGAAAAAAAAGAGGAATATACAACTGAGTACTCATTGATGTGCTGAATTTGCAATGCAACAGTTAACTATTTCAGACCTGCTTAAATTTCAATTATTCTCACACCAAATGTTACACTGCTAATCAGTGACATTATTGAAGAGTCTTAAATATATTGTGAGAATTCTTATGCCAGAAAAAGATTAAATATATTGTGAGAATTCTTATGCCAGAAAAAGATTGACAAGAAAAAATTAACTGAATTAACAATGTATAATTGTTATAGGGTTCTGCTGACGTTGAAGCCAATGACCCACAAGAGAAACCAACACGCCCCATCGAAGAATACAAACCAGTTCCTCGCCCAAAGAAGCAACAGCCGGCGCCCTTACCCACACCCTCAGTTAAACGTCCTCGGCTGAGTGTCTCCTCAGATTCACAACCGTTACCTCCAACAATCACAAAAACTGAACCTGTTGCCTCCGTTCAACAGGTCGGATTGACTCCCGAACCTGCTATCCAATTCAAGATGGAACCCTATGACCAAAATCAGTCTTTGTTGGATGAGACAGGGGATGATAACTTTGGTGACGACGCTTTGGATGATACTGCAGGAGACGACAACGAGGATTATTCTATGATGGAGAGCGGAGTTGGGGACGAAGAACCCCAAGCAGGAACCAGTACTGACGGCGCAGGCGAAGGACAAGGTAGGTGGTCTGTTTTGGTTGCAAAATGGTTCCTGCAGAAGGTGTAGCTAAGGTCAGGGGGTGTGTTGCTATAGTTTAGAGCTGTTGTGTCGGTTATAGGTGCAAGGATTTGAGGAAAGATGGCGACAGTTTACTTGAATTTTTGAAGTATTGCGTTTAGGTGACGAGAAACTGAGCTAATGTTGAACTGTATTCCAAAAAAAAATTAGGCATATTTCAATTTGAACAGAGGGAGGCAGTGATTTTTTTATATATGTCTGATGAACTGTGATTAGGAATTGATTGCTTGTCATTTGTAAGTAAAATTGAAAGGGTGTGACTTGAAATGTTCAAAAACATAGTCATGTACTTTTTCTTGCTATGTTTTTTTTCAGTTTCCTACCTAGTTGGCCTTTATTTTTTACTGAAATGATTCTTGCAAGAATAACAGTTTTGTTGAATTTTTCTAACAAAGAACGTCTGTCTGTAATGTCATAAATTTCATGAAGTTGAAATCTTCCTTAGTAAGAAACAGATATCATACTGTTGATGTCTGAGATTCCATACAAATTGTTCTCAAAGAATTTTAAAATCTTCGAATATCTACTGGGCAATAAACGGTTTCTATCTGAGAAAATGAGAGACCACAGTTATATTTGGGTACAGTCAAAATCAAAACTTGATCCTGAAATGATCCCTCAGTTAAGCATGAAAAATATATATTTTGATAATGTGCAGACATCATTGATAGTCCTACAACTCTATAAGTCAACAGGATGAGACCACTAGGAAAATTCTGTGTGATGTGTATTTTGAGTAATACACCCCCATGTTTTTTTTTCAATAGATCATTCCTGTGCAGTGTTGCTAACATGGTTTCCCATTGGAATAGCTCACATTTTCTAGGTCGCTCATGAAACCATTTCAATAGGAAAGTTTTCATTTATTTAATTTTTTTTTGAGAGAAAAGTCGAATATTCACAATTTTATAAGAATTTTTGAAATTATGTGAAATATGGTAATGAAATGTAATAGTTTCCCTTTTATAAGTTATCTGTCACGTGTCAAGTATTAAAAATACCGTTTGATAGTTTAACACAGAGTCAACTCACGAAAGGAAAATCATTGACATTTTTTAAATAACAGTATTTCATATAATAATGGATAGTCACAACTTTTTCAAAACACTTTAAATAAGAAATGAAAGCTTTCCATATTGAAATGTTCTACAGAAATAACCCAGATAATGTTAGAGCTGTCTTTTTAACCAAAAAGTATGTTGGTAACACCACAAGTTGAAATTATTTATTTAATTTTGATTTAGCTAGTCAATGGAATTGAAATTAGTTTGTTATCCATTAAAATTATATATTATCTCTAATAAGTTTAGTTACACCTTTTTCAGGACCTTACCATGCATAACCTTAAATAACAATCATTCAGCAAATTTGCAATTCTTATCATCAAATACAATAAATTTATTATTTAAGGTTTTGCTTGGAGTGGACTGTTTCACTTTTGTTCGTTATGTGGTTTTTAGATAGTAGCATTTTGTATGTTTTTGTGTTTGTCAATATTTCTGATTATCGTTTATAATAATTATTATAAACAAATTTTTTTTCATTCAGCTGAAAATGAAAGATTTGATTATTTTATTAATCAAATCAAGATAATAAGCTGAGTTAGTGGTGGTGTCCAAACATGTTGATTCTTCAATCATATTGGTTGATGGATTGTAATTAAAGTGAACATACATTTATTCTTCAGCTGTATTGGTTGATGGATATTTGCTTATTTCAATTTTTGAAATAATCAATTGAATCAACTTTCAAGCAATTAGGTGAACGCTCAGTTAGTAATATTTTCCTTTGAAAATGTTACTCATAATGTGTTTCTGAGAAGTAATATTTTTGTTTAAAAATATTATATTTGAACACCATTTTGAACACTGAGGTAAATTGTTTGGAAAGTATTATATTGAATATTATTGTAATTATAATAATATTCATTTTTATTATTTTCCATTTCCAGTTCAAATTTGCCTTAACTTTGTTTAGAGTTAAAGCTAGTGAAATTAGTAGGGGCGAAAGGGTAGCAGTGGCTAATGGGGATAAAATAAATTTTTCCAGTTCTCAGGATTTTGAAAGGTGCAACAATTTTTATTTGAATTTGCTATAGTGGTTCAAAATTAAATTCCCTTGAAAAATAATCCTACGAGTGACGAAATATTTTGGAGCATTATTTCACAAGTGACTTTCAGTGTATTTTGGAAATAGTGGACTCCTGATGAATTGAGTAGGGTTCAGTTGATTTGAAATATTGTGAATTTTTGTTTCCAACATTTCGGGCAGTCGAGTGATCCTTCGGAAAATATTTGAGGTATCATAATTTGAAATCTCAATTTTCACAAATCTCTTGAATTTCAAGTGATATAATGAAGTTTGCTAGTGAAAGAAGTAAAACTGTTTCAATTTTTCTGTGTAAGTGAATTTTTTCATATGAAGTGGTTTTTGTAAGTTTTCAGTTTTACTGTTACTTTAAATGAATTAGTTTTTAATTATATTTTGCTCAGAATAGCAATTTTTCTTATTTTTCACTATTGAAGATGAAATATTTCGTGACATAATCCAGCCTCCATAAGTGAAGTGTGACATTGAAACCTCTATTATGAGAAAAAGTTTCATATTTCAGGCTGTTTCATCAATGATTACTTCCCATTGTGAAATTGCAGGAATTCTGGAATTTTTTTTGGTATAAATCATCAATGATTCTACCTGTCTACTTTTCAGGTATGCTTGATTTTTGTTTTATACTATTTAAAGGTTGGTTGTCACCTTTTTTTGTGACATTTCATGTGGATATAATGCTAAATACAATTTTACTTGGCTACTTTCCAGATGTAATTGTTATTGGTGTTATATCTACATGAAATGTAGGCTGATATTCTAAAACATGATTTCAAAATAATTTTGCAACAATTGATCCTACTATCTTAATCGGATATACAATTCTGTCTTCAATGCACATTTTATAACCTTTTTGTAAAATAACTGAATTATTTCATTCCACAAAGAAACGCCAAGTATCATGTTCATTACTTTGAAACAGATTGTCAACATGCGTGAATCCTGTCTTGAAGCACTAAAATGAAAATGAATTACTTTTGTATTTTGATTGTAGTGTTTGTAGACTCTGCAGAATGTTTTTTGCTCAATGAATTGATATCGGAGCGAATTCGTTAGCGATATCTGATTTGATCAATCAAAACTCATCTGGAAGGATTTTCGAGTGTTTTCATTGATCAGAGTATTGATTTTTGCCTGGTGTTTTTTTTTAAATTGAAAAGTAACTTAAGTTATTCTTCATATAGTTGTGGTTTGTTGTGGTTTCATAAACCATTGCATTCCTTCAGTTTTCATCTGGATCTCCTGTGGCAAAACCTTCAATGTAATTGAAAGTCGAGTTTGAATCTGACTTAACTGTATAAATCTTGTTGAACTCATTAAAAATTTATATATCATAAACATACTCTTCACGAACCTGGTATTTTGACGACACTTCAATAAATATTGAAAATTCATTAGTTTCAAGTGAGAACATTTGTTGGCATGTTTTACTTGAACAATGAATTTCGTAATGGAATGGTTAGATTTTACCAAACAAATCACTATATGCAGGAATTCTGAGAAAATTTTACACAATATGTTTTGGATCTTTCAGTTGCCTTTTTCAGAACATCAACTTCAAAATTACAGTGGTCCCAAATTCATTGTATTTTTGAATATTTTAATGAAAAATAATAGATTTTTGTTATGAAAAATTTTCAACTGGGAGCAAAACAAAGTCAGGGCTAACTTTTAAAATAGGTTTTTATGGACGACGTCAAGATTAGAGTGCTTGAAATTTGGGTTGGTAGGTCAAGGTCGAATGGAAAATGTACCAAATGTTTTGTTTGCTACTGCGGCCGACATCTTTAATGCGTTGACTCTGAGAAGTGACTTGTCAGTTGTTGCTGATACTTCGAGATGTAACTTATCCTCGCAGTCAAACCATATACTATTTATGATGATTGCTTTAGTAGGAGACTAAACGTTTGGCACAAGTTTCATTGGAACAAAGCCTACCAGCCCGGATATTGTTCTCTCTAATTTCTTATTGAATACTACAAGTTTTCAAATTGTTTCTAGAATTATTTGGGTTTTACATTTTATGAGAAATTTGTGAAGTTTAAATAATGTCCTGAAGTATCTTAAGTACTTGTGTTGGTTTTAATGGCGTTGCCTATTATTAGACTACGGACAGTAGCTGTGTCGTTTCTCTCAGTAGAACTTTCTACTATTAGTAGAATTCTACTAATAAAAATTATTGGGCAAGAGAAAATCCCTTCGATTTCTTTGTCTTGAATTTGTGAAATATGTCTAGTTTATGATTTTCAAAAGCTAAAATAATGGACATATTTCACCAGTTCATATAGGGAATATGATAATTCGTCTTCAGTGTATTTTGTTTTTCTAAGCTTTGAAGGTGATTTATGAAATTTCCTTCAAGAAACGAGCGTAACATTCTTATGTCAAACTATTTTGATTCACATAATTCTCAAACTAAGAATATTTCAATAAATTCACACACAACCAATCAAGGAATGGTAGTAAATTTTTTTACCGCATATGATTGATTTTATAAAAGTTAGTGTCGTTTAGAGTTTGTAGATGGATTATCTGGGTGTTCTTAATGTCTTTTCTTTTAAAAATGAAAGACATTCATTGAGAACATACATTTTTTGGATATCCTGTAAATGTCCACCTTAGGATATTCATTCCAAGGCCACCGAGGGATATCTTATAGACATTCATTTCATGTCAAGGGTATTTTGACCTCAATAAAACTTGAATTGAATATCTGTAGGATATCCAGTATTGTATAGGTTGGATATGTTTAATGTAGTGGGTATTCTAATTGACCCTGTGTAAATTCTGGTAAGCAATTCAGGTAAGTATTTTTGGTACCCCTAAAGGTTTGTA